GACGCTACTAGGGGCTCCTGGCATCGCTACTAAGGAGCAAGGACGCTACTATAGGGGCTCCTGGCATCGCTACTAGGAGCAAGGACGCTACTAGGGGCTCCTAGCATCGCTACTAGGAGCAACGACGCTACTAGGGGCTCCTGGCATCGCTACTAGGAGCAAGGACGCTACTAGGGTTCCTGGCATCGCTACTAGAAGCAAGGATGCTACTATAGGGCTCCTGGGATCGCTACTAGGAGCAAGGACGCTACTAGGCGCTCCTGGCATCGCTACTAGGAGAAGGACGCTACTATAGCGGCTCCTGGCAGCGCTTCTAGGAGCAAGGACGCTACTAGGGGCTCCTGGCATCGCCACTAGGCGCAAGGACGCTACTAGGGGCCCCTAGCATCGCTACTTGGAGCAAGGACGCTACTGGGGGCTCCTGGCATCGCTACTAGGAGCAAGGACGCTACTAGGGGATCCTGGCATCGCTACTAGGAGCAAGGACGCTACTAGGGGCTTCTGGCATCGCTACTAGGAACAAGGACGCTACTAGGGGCTCCTGGCATCGCTACTAGGAACAAGGACGCTACTAGGGGCTCCTGGCATCGCTACTAGGAGCAAGGACGCTACTAGGGGCTCCTGGCATCGCTACTAGGAGCCAGGACGCTACATGTCAACAGCACTCCCGGTTCTCGCCTCTAAGCGTTGTGCCAGGTTTTGGAGGTGCCGCTGCTCCGGTGCACGGCTTGAGGACTCCTCAAGTGCCTGCAGAAAAGGACATGGGATGATGTGGGCAACACGTTGAGCACTCTGCGGAAGGGAATATGAATGCCCCACAGCAGGAAACTAACTGTACAATTATGTAAGATCCATTTGCAGTTGTTACCATTTGTCGATACAGCATTTCTTTCACCACATACATGGAGCATCCAATGAAGGGGATACCGGGATACCTGGTCCAAAGCATAATTATATGGCCGCCTACCACACGGTCTACAATCAGTATTGAGTATGAGTATTGTCTGCTGGGCTGCAATGTCTGCAGGCAGGTTTGGGCAGCTTGATGTAAGCGTAGCATTGTAAGCTCACGAAGTGACTTCCACTCACTTTTCTAGATGCAGCTAGGGTTGCGCGCCAAAGTAGGACAGGTTCTCCCAATGGAGTTGAGCGTGTCCATCCCTCTGGCTTCCAACACTTGTAACACATGCTGGCATGGCATGTTGGAAGCTAGGCAGTTATCAGTTGCAGGAACTGAATGAACTATCATTTCCAGCGGTGAAGAAGAAACCCTAATGAATCCAAACCAACAAGCAAAGAAATGAAATGAACACATTTGACAACTGTCTGGCATTGCTGTCACTTGGTTTCGGTCTCTGCCAGCTGGGTTCTAAAACAGAATCATCTGATGAATTCAATTCAAAGACCGCTTCGCGCTTTCTCGGCAAAAGCGGATGTAAGTCTGAGCCAAAAGCGCGTTGCAGGCTACAATATGTAGGTTTCTACAAGCGCTTGACCCACAAGGCCGACTGGAAGGTGCACCTAATGAAGCCAATAGCAAAGTCAAATTGTGATTTTTCCATTTGGTGAACGGCTTGCTATCATTAGGACTACCTCCTCTTTCGACCATGACCTAGAAGTGCCGAGAATCGGCCTACTCAAAACTATCCTTATCAGGATATTGATATTGATGAGCTCTAAATAAGTGGTGAAGACCTGAGTCTGTTGCCCGGTCACCCCGCATCTAATCATCATCTGGAAGAACAGTGCTGTTCTCAGAGCTTGCTTCGCCATCCTCATGACTCCCAGTCCTTGGCAAAATTCTCTAGAAACTCAAAGCGTGCATTGCAAGTGGTTAGCCAAGCAAAATGTAGAATGTTTAAGGTCAAGTTTCCCTAAAAATCTAGGAACCAAATTCAAATGAATAGCTATCCTGCCTCCATATGTACAATGTAGTCCTGCCTCCTTAATTAAGTAGGGAGGGAGGGCAGTGGGCTAAACAATACTCTAATTCCGCTAATTCCAAACCCAACACCTAATTGAGTTTAGTGCTCACTCTCAACTTAGGACCTACACACAATACCGGTGATGCTTTTTCTCTGTCTTTGTCTTCTTCCCGCTGCGAACTAATTGCAGAACCTAAGCTGGGAGCCTCACTTGCTTTTGTCACAGTAGGTCCCTACATACAGTACATGGTCAATATCAATGGCAGCCTCCCAAACAAGCCCAAGTGTAGGAGAATATCGAACTTGGATGGGGACTTGAATCAGTTTAGAAATTGTTTTCCGCCGTGAAGTGGCCGTCTCACACCTCCCAAAATAGCCCAAGCCTCGTCTTGGGGATCACCACTTCAAAAATGCTGAGCACCTCTTCATAGCCGCCCCAACGCTGATTCTTCCGTTGGGCGTACTCCTCTGGAGTTTGGCCCCGGTATTTGACGTCAGGACGTGCACCGAGCTGCAATAGTGCCTGTGTGTGCAGCACTGGTGATCGAAAGCTGTTGCAAGCGACTCGGACTCAAAAGCAAGCACTCATCATCGTGTGCCTTGACCACTGCGGCATTCTTCTGATGCACTGCGGCATGCAATGGATAGCCTGAGCTCCACCAAACCCACAGAACGGAGCTCCAAAAAGGTGACTGCAAACGGTGAGGAGTTAGTTAATTATAAGGAATGCCTGGCATGCGTGGAGGCCGAGCCCTTGCACATGATCACGTGGAAAGGACGCATGAAGTATACACTTTACAACATGGGAAACGTCAACCACAGGTATCGGTATGAAAGTACGGCGACTTTCTTCTTCTTCGACCAAGTCTGACTCAACACAGGTTTGCCAGTCAAAGCTACTCCCTCTCCTGCAACTCGTTCAAACAACATCAAACAACAACTCCTGTACTTTCTTAATCTTCTTCCATCACTTCAACACTTATGAGAAGTTTTGAAAAGCTTTGCACATTGGAGCCCCATTGCCTCATTGCATGAAGAACTTGGGACTCCTCCGCCGAGCCACTAG